ATAACAAAATACATTATCGGATTACTTTGTTTAGAATACAGAGATCACTTTATATATGGTGTGGCAAATAGTTGAAATTCTAGGAATGAGATGAAGAGAAGGAAAAAGGTTTTCTAATCTTACTATCCTTTCCCTAGTCCAAGGTCTCTTAGATAATGATCTCTTAAGGACATAATTATATTTTCTAAAAAGAACACTTCTTACCTGCATTCTTCGAGAAATTAAGGTAAGTGGTGATCCTTCCAAATAGAGATTCTCCATATCAAAATCGGTACTTACTTTACTCGCCAAGAAAGAGCTAATCTGCAAATAAATAAATTAATTAATTACAGTTCTCAATCAAAATCTTTTTATGTTCATTCAAGTTAACTCACTCCTATGTGAACGATGAATATTGCTATCACTAAGGATTTTGCGGTTTTCGTGTGTAGCCATTCGATAAACACCTCCAGTCTACCCTTCGCTGGAGCTTTGACCGGGGATGGCGTGAATACAGGCATCATCACCGAGAACGACTTGGCATCATTGAGCTTTTTATCGATCGATGAGATTGCCATTTCCTGAAATTAAACGGTGATATATTCTTAAAATCTTATTACCCGGTTTCGTAGGCCTTACCGGCGCAACTTTGTTCTCAACTGCTTTTCTATCAAGTTTGATCTGTCTTCGAACGATAAAACTCATCACAGCTGTGAAGAATGTCATCTGGAAAAGGTTTTGGGTTTTATTATGTTTAGTTACCCAAGAGACATCTATCACTTACCTGATAGACGTAGTCTACAAATAGGGCTACTGAAGTGAACAAGCAGAACAGACGAACTACGGGCATATTAGCGAAGAGACCAATGGCAAAGCATAGGACATCTGAAACAATTAAATGATAGATGTCCGTAATATTTTCGGTAGTTATTACATCTTCTCATGTTACTCATTGCTATGGTTACATCATGCGCTCTACTAGATATAAGATGTTTACAGATAAGTTTGTGCCATTTGTAGTCCTGAAAATCATAAATTGCCCCCTCGGATCCAAAAGGCAAAAGCAGCCCATAAGCCTGTGAGTCACGTTCTGGGCTGAGCTATCCCAATCCGCTGAAAACGCGAAATCCGCGTTAAATCCGCTTTGATGGGCCTACTCACCGTCCAGAAACGTCAAAACATATGACGAAGTTGTGGTCGTCTGCTCAAACTTGCTTCATTGCCTTTTTTGTTTCCTCGCCACCAGCTTATACATAGATTTAAGCGATACACGAAGAGCGAGATCATAAGAAAGGTGATGGAGAGCGAT